CAAGGTTTTAAGCTTGGCTCAGAGAAACATACTGTGGAGGCAACAGTGCAAAAGTCTGGTGCTCTAAAGCTAAGTTCGGGTATTGCAGGATTAGCTCTGCTGAAGACAACTCAGGTACACAACATCTGTTTTCTGCAGATACGTCTTGTTAAAAATGGTGTGAGTTTTCTGTATTATCACTTCAATGGGTTCCACTGTCTTTTGACCCAGTGTTTTCCAGTTTTACTTGCTGCCATGATGCATATGTGTCTCACAGATTTAGTGGTTTGCAAAAGAACTCTTTCGGTGTTTCTTCTTTATTGATGTGCTTCTCTTTAACTTCTTAGGCTCTTAGCCATACCTATTATATCAGTGTTGCCCTTCTACTCTATGACAAAAGGAAACACAATGTAGAGTATTATACCTGTCCTGGTTTGTCTGTAGGTTTTAGAGATATAAGTCTACTCCTCTAACTTAGGAACTCGATGCAGAGGAAAGACAAAGAAGAATGATATGAAAATGATTGAAAATCGGTATTTGATGTTGCTATTGTCAAAGGTCAAGAATTGATATATTTCTTGAAAGCCATTTTTATGCAAATTAACAGTCAGGATTTGAGGGGTTTGTGAGAGACAAATACACCATTCTGCCTGAAACTCGAGAGAGAATGCTGGCCACAGAAGTGAATGCATCTTGGAGGTATGAGTTAACCAATGGCGCTACATATCTCTTATTTGTTATTGATTCTTAAAACTTATATAGACGTTCATGGTGACAACAGGTACTCATATGAGTCAGTTGCAAGCATCCCGACAAAAGGACTCTACTTCAGTGAGAAGTTCATGGACGTAAAGAAAGTTCTGATGGAGACTTTCTTTGGTCCTCCCGAAACTGGCGTGTATAGCCCTTCTGTCCAACGAACTCTCTATCTTATGGGAAGCGCTGTACTGAGAAGGTATCATCATATCTGTCTATATACTCTTCACTCTTTGTGTGATTATGCGATTCTTACCATGATCAGGTTCTTATTAACATGATCAGGTTCGCTGATGTATCATCGATTCACCTTAAAATGCCAAATATTCACTTTCTACCTGTAAATCTTTCAACCAAGGAAAACCCTTCAATGGTTAAGGTAAAGAATATTCATGTGTTGTTGCCTTTTATGATGAAATCACTAAATAAAAATGAAAAGGATATAATAGAAAATCAGCAGTAGAACAGAAATAAAATCTGAAAGCTCATTCCAAATATTGATTCAAAGATACAAATGGTTTCTGAAAATTTGATTTTGCAGTTTAAGGATGATGTATACCTGCCAACCGATGAACCTCATGGATCTATAGAAGCAACCGTAAGCCGGATAACCTCGAAAATGTAAGGTTTTGGAGAATGCAAGGACAGATTTACTACTATTACACAGGTTCTGTAACTTTTGGCTTTTGCCTTGTTTATGAAATAAAGAGAGCCACTCTTCATGAGGTGCGCTATGTGTTGCAACTATGGTATCCATTGCTTCAAACACAAAAGTTTCTGATATGTATGTATTTTGCATTAACCAAGTAAATACATATTTATCTATCCATTAGCCTTGAATTCTAATGTTGTCATAGCAGAAGTAAATCATTGCTCCAAAACGGCTTGGAGTAAGGGATCAGACACATTGTTGAAGGCGGTTATGATCTTTTGCTGTAGAATGAATTAGTAAATGGTCTGGACAGTCCATGCATGATTGTTGGTACCAATGCAGAATCACTCACGAAACTGTTTATTTTATCACATTTCTTTTATTATACAAGATATTTTTGAAAAGTTTACATATACTTCCATACGCAAACTATAAATCTAGTAGTCTTCAAACGGCACAAATGAGAGTAGTACTTATTAGTGTGGAAAGGATTCATATATCGTTCTTATGTCTGAGCATCAGAGAAGCGACCAAATGGATCCCTGAATGCAGCTACATTCCCCGGACGCGAGAACACTACCTGAGATGTTGCGGAAACGCATGATCAAGCTATTCAAATCAAGTCTTTGTTGAGTGATACTAAGAAATGAAGCATGGTAATGTTTATGGTTAATACTCATGTTACCTGGTAGTCTCCAAGGGTAAGAGTCTTGAAACCAGCTGCACAATAGTCGAAGTAATATTCCCACGTCCTTATGAATTTATCGTCGAATCCAAGATCCGTGATTTGCCTGTGCAGGTAATAGTTAGACATATGATAATGAATAGAAACAGAGGAAATGTGTTTTGATATTTAGGTTACTTCTGTCTCTCCAAGAAGTTCTTCCTCCAGTATTTCAGAGTATGGTAGTAATGAATTCCGATATTCTCAACGCTTTCAATGCTGCATTTTTCCAGTGTTAGATGTGTCTAAGGGAGAGAAAGCAGAGAATTGGCACTTTGGAAGCTAAAATCTGATAAAGAAATGACTTACCATAGCCTAGAAGAAGAGGACATGGCTGAAGTAACTCTAGCTAAAGAAGGAAGGCATCCACCAGGGAATATGTATTCTCTTATGAAATCTGAATTTAGTCTGTATTCGTTGTAACGGTCTTCGGGTATCGATATGAACTGTTTTTAGAGTTAAACATTATAGACGATGAACGGTTTTGCAAACATGAGACTAGAGATATTCAAAGAAGAAGCAAGCGTTACCTGCAGGACAAAAATGCCGTCTTCTGCAAGGGCAGCTTCGCAATGGCTGAAAAATGTCTCTATGAATTTATGTCCTACATGTTCTATCATCTCACTGAAGCATCGAAAATGTTAATGTCATAGACTCATAAAACAGGTAACAGGTTTATATACACTATGGAGGAAATAGATATTACCATGATATAATTCTGTCATATTTTTTAGCATCAGATAGTTGACGATAATCGCAGAGCTGAAACGTAATCTGATCCTGGAAGTCCATAAGTTATATTGTTAGTTATAGACTTGGGATCAGAAACAAGATCCCGAGATGGATTATATACACAAACCTGAAGTCCAGCTTCTTTCACTTTTTCTTCTGCATAGTTAAGTTGTTCAATAGATAGTGTAATACCGGTGTATTTGCAACCGGTTTTTCTCACAACTTCTATGGCCAAAGTTCCCCATCCACATCCAATCTCTAAAACCTCATGGTTCTTCTCTATCTTCGCCTGAAATTTTCGACATTTGATCATTAAAGAACAGAGAAAAATCGCGATTCTTGTTAAACATCAAGAAAATGCTCTCATGTCCTATAGAACTTACCTTTTCAATTAAAAGAGATATTTTTCTCATCTGTGCAGTTTTGAGATCCTCATCATCAGACTATAAACATGTTAAAATGGCGAAAGATTAAAGTCAAGTCAGCGCACATAAACAGAAAATCAGAAAAGAGTGAGGAGATTTCATTGTCACCTTGAATATTGCAGAGGAATAAGTCATGGTATCACCCAAGTATAAAGCAAAAAGCTCGTTACTCTGCACAATTACCAACGATGAAGCAGTCAAAACCCCGAAGCAGCGGAGAAATGTCCGCTTTGAGACAGAAAGAGGATGTGAACATAAGACAACTTACAAGGTCATAGTGACGCGAAATGTTCCTTCGAGCTTGAGTTAAAGTGTTCTGCCTAGAGACATGCTTTAGGAAATTCGTTGCAGATGCTAAACCTGCACTGAGAAACATCGGTGTCCACCAACCCCTGCAAAAATCAAGAGCAAGTGCAATGGAACAAGTGAAAGCTTACATAATAACACTTGATTCAAAGTTTGAAACTTTACCTTTTCTTAGCAAGATTTGAGTTCCGTGAGTTTAATTCTTTGTTAGCAATGAGAATCTGCAAGTAATCATGCTCATGCAGATAGATGTCGATCATAAAATTTTTAACTTAATATCTCTATGTGTTAAAAACTGTATGTATCATACCATGATCAGATTCAAAAGTCCTGTTTCCTTATCGACAAACGAAAAATCTCCATCGATATAAGCATCAGCAAGTCCTACATCTGCCCGTGTCATAACCTATACGAAAAAAAAATCAAGATTTCAGTTCTTAAACTTGATAAGAAATAGTTTCCACTAATTCAAACATCAGTGTCACATTAACCTTCCAATAAAACTTAGGACTCTGAATCTCGAGGACAGATTTCAAGGAACATCTCGGATCATTTCCTTCGAAAGTGGACACCGATCCTCCTTCTTCAAGTATTCTGTAAGAATCTATCTAATAAGTAAATGTCACATTCAAAGAAAAGAATGACAGAAATATGAAGTTAGGAACTCACGTTACACAACCGGTTGATATGAACTGTCTCAAGAATCTAGTAAAGAAAGATTGAGCCCATTTCTCGGTTAGAGAAGGGACCATTTGCTTCTTCTTGTTCAGAGGAGTAACCATATTTTTCCCTTGCAGATATTGTGCAGCTGTCATACCAGCCTGACATATATATGCCAAAAAAAATTTCAACAACGAAGACCAAAATATATAATATTGTTTGTTAGTATAATATAGAAAGAAAGTTGAATTAAAATACCAGCCTGACATATATATATATACACGCCAAGAAAAGATTGATCAAGATGACCAAAACATATAATAATATTTTGTTAGTATATTATAGAAAGACAAAACATTGATCAAAATACCAGCTTGACATATCTTATTATGTAAAGTAGGCAAAACTATATATATAGACAAAATTATAATTTATTAAAAGTTAATTAAGAAAATATAAAATTAAAAATAGAAAACTAATAAAATCATTGTCAAGTAACTAATTAAATAGTAAAATAATAAAAATTTCAACACTCCAAACAAATTAGGAAAATAAAAATTGAGAAAGAAATTACAGAGGTATTCACCACTACTTTTATGAAATTATAATTTTACTCTTTCTGATTTAAGTCTACAATATTTTAATTGTTTTTGCTACTTTATCAAATAATTAATAAATATTTATAATAGATAAGAATATTATTTTTTAATTTTAATCAAAAATATGATTTAAATTCTGTCTATAAACATTCGTCAAGAAGACTAAAATATATAATATTATTTGTTCGTATCATATAGAAAGAGACAAAACAAGTTTATCATATATAAAAAAGTTGATAAACTAATAACCAGAAATTCCAGTTTAGAAAGAGAGAAAAATGAAATGTACTTTTCGTGCATTCGAGAGAGACAGAGCTTGTGGACCATGAAGTGTAGTTTAGGATACAGTAAGTGCCAGTTAGGTAACCATGCATATGCATAAAAACACCTAGAATTGGCATGCATACACTAAAAAATTTCGAAAGTGAATCGATCGGAATATCTCATAAAATCACCAAACTTTTGATAGGCCTAAACCAAATCCACAAAAACCCTATGGTAGAACTCACCACAAAAGCTAGCTTGTGAGTGAGAGTGCTCTTAGAGTCTTAGGTTTTATATAGCGGCTCAAATTGGTAACTTAGTTTGCAAACAACGTTAGTTCAACCGCTCGTTTGTTACCAATCAAACGGTCGTTTGAAAAGATCGTTTGAAACGGGCGATTGGAAAATGAAGTTTCAAATGGACGTTTGATAAAAAGGTCGTTTGAA